TGAGTTTATTTTTTTGATTGCTGAGTAATAGTCCGTTGTGTATATGTACCATATCTTTTTAATCCAGCTATCTACTTTTGGGCTTTTGGGTTGATTCCATGTCTTTCCTATTGTAAATAGAGCAGCAGTAAACATGGGGGTGCAGGTATCTTTTTGAATCAATGTTTTTGTGTCTTTTGGGTAGATACCTCAGAGTGGGATTGCTGGGTCATATGGAAGCTCCATGTTTAGTAGTTTGAGGAACCTTCAAGCAGTTTTCCATAGTGGTGGTACTAGTTTACATTCCCACCAGCAGTGCAGAAGCATTCCTTTTTCTCCACATCCTCGCCAACATTTATTGTTGCCAGTTTTAATATGTGCCATTCTCACTGGTGTGAGGTGGTATTTCATTGTGGTTTTACTTTGCATCTTTCTTATTACAAATGATGTGCACTGGGATTTAAAAATGATGTGGAATTGGATCCCAGTCTCCTAGGGTCCTGCCACAGTAGAGGCAGTCAGGAGGCAGCTGGATGCTTCCGGACACAGATGGAGACTAGTGGGAGGTGTGAGAGATTAAAGTAGGTCTCAGCAAAGGTCCATCCCACCCAGTGGATGTCACATTGTAGGGAAGAAAGGGAGAAGTGAGAAACACAGATCAGGAGGATAACTGTAAGCCAGTGACACCTTAAAATTCAAAGGATCTTGGGCCCCCCCGGTGGCTCAGTGGGTTAAAACAGCACTATGAAGTTATCGGCAGACAAACTAGCACATCCCAAGTTTGATCCCTGACTTGGGAGGTGACCCACATGGCAGACCTGTCCTGGTCCACCCGCTGCTCCCCTCAGCAGTATCTTTCAGTACATCTGCCTGTTCTGCTCTCCACTCTCTTTGGTGAGTCTTCTCACCCCATACCTCTGGCCTATACCCCAGTTCTTGTATGCAAAAAAAATAAATAAATCTTAAAAAAAAATCCAGGCCCTCCCTGGTGGCACAGCAGGTTAAAGCACAGCACTAAGAAGCTGAAGCCACTGCCGCATGAGTTCGATTCCCGCTTGCCGCGTGGGTCCTGCCCCGTAGGTGACCATATGGTGTGGCAGACCTCTCCTGACCCGCCCGCTGCTCCCCTCAGCAGTGTACTTTGTTGATCTGTCTGTTCTGCTCCCCATTCTGTCTCTGGTGAAGCCTCTCACTGCCCCTGAGCCTCTGGCCTATACCTCAGTTCTGTAAGCACAAATAAATAAATCTTTTTTTTTTTTTTTAAATCCAACAGATCTTAAATACGCAGGAGCAAAAGTCCACCCAAAAGGAATTGGCCCAAAGTAAGGCCTGTGAAAGACCAAGTGGATGCCATGACAGGCTTCAGAATGCTTCTGAACCAGCCAGGCCTAAGCTTTGGTTATCAACAAGGCACCAAGGCCAAGTTTAACTGTAAATGTCCTAATCTTGCTCATCCCATAGCAACAGCCATTTAGCAAGTAGGCAAGTAACCAGTACATATCAGAAAAATGCCAGATGTCCTCAGGTATGCTGGCAGAGTAGTGAAGTTCACATCTTACATGCATGGATCAACCATGCATGGATTAAGACAAGATAACTTTGTTCAATGTCCACTAATCAATGTACTGCTGAGCAAAAACTCCCCTCTGCTGGGCTGAAACTCCACTTCTGTAATAAAAACCCTGCCTTCCCTGAGCTCAGGGCTCTCAACTTTGGCTGCTGCATCACTGCATGTTGGGAGCCCAGGCTCGAGCTTGCAATAAAGACCCTTGTGTGCTTTGCATCGGAATCGGCTCCTTGGTGGTCTTTGGGAAACACGAAACCTGGCACAATACCTGAAAGCCCGCCACAAGACTAAAACACCTTCTGCCCGGGACCCATAAAAAAGGGTCAGAAATGGCCAAACAAGTCTCGGAGGAAAAGAGCAAAATCAAAATCATCATAAACACTGCCATAGTCAGCTCCCCACGGGTCTCTCACCCACATCTCTTTCAACCAGTCCAGGGCCAAGAAACAAGCACAGATTCTTCACATGTCTCCCTTGCTCCATGTGGCTTCCTTAGGTCCCCTTCTGTCTCCATCCTGCTTCCTTCCTCTTCAGATTCCTTCTTTTCTCTCCTTTTCTCTGCTCAGCTCCACCCAACTTCTGGGTGGGGCAGGGAACCTGGAATTTGCCGTTTTCCAGGGACTACCCCATTACACTAACTCTAGCTCAGAGGGCCCACCAAGCATCCCTGAATGGGTCACGAGGAAGAAATGTTCTCACAGTGTCAGATCACTACACTGGGGAGAAGGGTTGGAACTCCTCTCCCAAGGCTCCCACAGGGGTAAACATGCACAGGTGCTGGCAGAGCGCCTCTCTGGGTGGGGAGGACAGAGGATGGCCAGCATTAGGCCATCAGCCCCCAAGTTAGAAGCCATTGTCACTCTAGCACTTCAGCTACAGGGTGTTTTACACACAGATAATTCTTTCATTTAAATTTCAACTACCAGAGAAGTAAGTTGGGGAGTTTTACAAAAAGGGAGACTGGAATCTACACATGGCTGTAAGTAGCTGGAGGTGGAGCCAAAAGTGAGGACTTCAGCTTGCCCATCTGCTGCTTTGGGAGGCCCAGCTCTTCCTCAAAAAGGGAGGGAGGCTGGTGGTGGGGCTTATATCTAAATGAGGAGGGCCCAAGGCAGTGGTGTGTGTTGTGGAGAAGAATTGTTGTGCCAGGTTTCAAGTTTCCCAAAGACCACCAAGGAGCCGATTCCGATGCAAAGCACATGAGGATCTTTATTGCAAGCTCGAGCCTGCGTTCCCAACATTCAGTGACCAGTGCCGCAGCAGCCGAAGTTGAGAGCCTTGAGCTCAGGGAAGGCAGGGTTTTTATTATAGAGGAGGGGAGCTTCAGCCCAGCAAAGGGAAGTTTTTGCTCAACAGTACATTGATTGGTGGACATTGAACAAAGTTATCTTGTCTTAACCTGGTTGATCTACGCATGTAAGATGTGACCTTCACTACTCCACACACATACCTTAGGACATCTGGTGTTTTTTCTGATATGTACCGGTTACTTGCCTACTTGCCAATTGGCTGTTGCTATGGGATGAACAAGATTAGGACATTTACAGTTAAACTTAGCCTTGGTGCCTTGTTGATAACCAAAGCTTAGGCCTGGCTGGTTCAGAAGCATTCTGAAGCTTGGTCTTTCAGAATCAGGGTATAAGCTGGAGTGGGGGTGGGAAGGGAAGTGGACAAGGTGAGAATTCACCAGAGACCGAGCGGAGAACAGAAAAGGTGGACTTATTTTAAAAACACAGCTAAGAGGAGCAAGCAGCGTGCAAGGAGAGGTGTGTACACAAAGAAGGGTTTGGGACTCCCTTTTCTGACCTGTTTCTCAGGCTTTTCAGGACTGGGGAGTTGTTTTGGGCTGGTGAGTGCTGAGATGTCTGGCCTTGGGCATGGAGCTTTAACACAGAAGGCTTCCGGGCCTGCTTCCATTCTCAGTCAAAAAGGCCATTGAAGGCTTGGTTCCCATAGCAACCTTATCAAATAAATCCCTATATCTGTTCAAGCCTCCCAAACCTTCAGCTGTGCAGGAGGTTTTAACCTTATTAAATGATACCCCCACATTGCGACCTCAGCACCCCCACCTCCCAAGGTGCCCTTCCTTCCTGGGATCTCAGGACCCACCAGCTCTGCCGTCCTGCAGCTCCTCTCCAAGTCCCAGCCTGCTCAGGACAGTCTCTGCCTGTAAATGTTCAAGATCACTGAAGGGTTTCCTTGATCCTGCCAGATGCTCAGAGACAAAAGTGTGCCTTGGTGCAGCAAGCTAGGGAAACATTGACACTGTAATCCCTTTTGACTCATGATGAGGCATTATAGCACATTAAATGCCCAACCTGTGGAGAGAATGTTACAGGGCATGTTTCAGGGCAGGGAGAGGGGCACCACTGAGCCCCCAAACCTGCCTGCTCTAAATAGGTTCTTCCATCCACCACATTCAAGACAAGACATAAGAGCTTTGATGGAAAGGAACTTTAATTCAATTATTGTGCAATATGGAAAAGACAAAAAAATATAGTTTCTAAATCAAATACCCAAAGTTACCCATCCCCTTGTGGGTATGGGATTGGCCCAAAGCAAGTCCTGAAAGCCCACCACAGCCTAAAGCACCTTCTGGCTGGGGCCCATAAAAGAGTCAGACAAGTCTGAGAGGAAAAGAGCAAAATAAAAATAAAAATAAACGCTGCCATGGTGAACCTCCCCACAGGTCTCTCCCCCACATCTGTTTCAACCAGCCGAGGGCCACGTAACAAGAGCCGCTTCTTCACATGTCTCTGCTCCCTGTGCCTCCCTCAGGTCTCCTTCTGGCTCCATCTTGCTTCCTTCCTTCTCAGTCTCCTTTCCAGCTTCTTCTCTTCCCTGCTCAACTCCACCTTCCTTCTGGGTGGGGCAGGGAACCTGGAACCTCCCCTTTTCTTGGGGACCACCCTGTTTACAAGAACTTTACATTTGACTTCCTTTGATCCAAATTTTCCAAAACTTAACCACATGAATGATAAAGTAAAAACCACTAGCTCTCCATACAGCTTACCATGGAAAGCAGTTTAGATCTTTCCTTGTATAGCAGGGAAAATGGAAAAAGCATTCGCTCACTCATTGAGTGCAGTGAAAGGTAGGCGAAGGCCTCCTGCATGCAGGGCCCACACCGTGTCCAGAGATTGCACAGGAGTGGACTAATCATGCCACTCAGCAGCACGGCCACATGGCCAGCCCCGCCAGCCTTTCTGACTTCCCCTACCCTAGTTTTACAGTGAGCCACACACCCATTTTAAAGACAAGGAACTTGAAGCCTGAGGGAAACCTTGAATTACCCAGTATGGAAAATGAGCCCCATGACTTGACAAGGTATCTTGCTTAATGCCTCTTGAATGAGGTTGTCTCTGGGGGACACAGAGGGGTCAAGAGAGTAATGCCTATGCTGGGCTGTGCTGGGCTGGCCCCTCATGCCTCATGCCTACTTGTGTCCCTGCAGGTCTACCTGGCTGAAGCCGTGCTGTGGGAAGAGAGCAGCCGTGTGGCAGGTATTTTTGCTCAGTGCGAGTGTCAACAGTTTCCTGGTAGCCTGTGTAATATTGGTGGTGATTCTCCTGACTCTGGAACTTCTAATAGATATAAAACTTCTCCAGTGTGAGTAGCAAGAGAGATACATATACAAATATGTATGATGTCGATATTCAATGTGCATCCATCAGGGGTCCCCAACCAGTCGTGTGGTCTGCTACCCCCTCCTGATGGCCGCAGGCCCCCGGCCCTGGACTCTCGGGCTTTAACGCCTGAGGGAAGTGGAGTAGGCAGCCCCATTCAGCCCCCAGCACATTCCCAGCTCCACATTGTCTCTGCTCCAATTGTGACCTCTTCAGTAGTACTCCTTCCCACCAGCATTCTGTGTCCAGAAACCAATGAGAACAAAAAACGTTGGGGACCCCTGTATGCACTTTTTTTTTTTTTGGTTTTTTTTTGTTGTTGTTGTTGCTTCTAGTTGGAATTTTCCAGGTTGGGATTTTCCAGGTTGGGATTTTCTGTCACTTCATGCCAATCGCTGCATGTAGAGATGGACTGCCGTGTGCCACTAGTGGTGACAGCAACCTTGTCGTCCCAGCCACAAGTTGGATACTTCATTTATATAAGTGTGACCATTTTGAGAGCACTATTCTCCACATTTGAGATGGGCAAGACTTATATTACCCCTGTTGGAGACAAGGAAGGGAGGATCTCAACACATTCGAGGCTGTCCTTGGTCAGAGTATCTGGACTGGGCCTTGCCACCACCAGGCCATTTGACAGCAGGGCTTCATCTGTTGCCCTAGGTCTCCCCACTGGTTGTTTATGGCAGCTTGATGCACCTGGCAGCCCAGGGTCTGTCTGTGCCTCCTGGTCCTTCTGCATGTCTGAGGCAACACGGCTGTCACCGTGAGGGCCTGCCACCACCTCGCGCCCTGCAGACCTCTGTGGTACAAGGAGGTGAAGGCCAAGGGTCCTGACTCCTGGCTTTCGATGAGTGAGTGGTTCTAGCTGCTTCTTTGCCGTAGTTCCTTGATTTGCAAGGTAGGTCTCCCCAGCACAAAGAGAAGAGAGTTCAATTATTGGTCCCCTGAGAGGTTTCCTGTCCTGACACTGGCCAAGGTAAGGTCACCCAGCCACCCCAAACCCATTTAGTCAACTTGGAGTGGTTTTCTCTCATGCCCCCAGTTCCTCTTTTGGAGTCTGTGTCTGGGCCCCTCTAGCTCCCTCCAAGCCCTGTGAGCCTTCCCTCCCTTCCCTGGGGACTCTGGCAGGGACCCATAGCCTCATTCACTTTGTGCAGCTGGTGGCCTCTAAGCTCTGATCAGGTATCTTCCAGCACAAAGTAACTGATGGGGTTTTACACTCAACCTGTCTTCAATTAAGCCACGGTGTCTACTTTCCTTCCCACTCATCCGCATGTCTGCTTTTTATGGGGTCTAACTATAACAGAACCTTTCTTTCGCTGGGGTGGGTTGTGCCCAGGGCCCGCGCTGCTCATGCTTGACAAGGCCTTGAACCGACCTGAAAACCCGGATGACACTGGAATTTTGCTTAAAATTAAGTATCCAGGAGATTGATTTTGGTGGGAGATCCAATAGCAGCTCATAAAAGGCATCTTAAATTCCATAAAATGCACAATCAGAGATTTATTGCTCTTCTAAAGCAAACCGTAAAAAAAGGCATAGGAATTCATTTGAGAAATAATGGGGAGAGATTTTATGTTTTCAGAATCATCTGGAGGCCTTTTCAGAGTCACACGACCTCAGCCTCTCGGTACTCACGTTCATGGGACCCAGGACAGAGAGGATCAGTGGCTTCGCCAGGCTTGTCCTTGAGGTCACACTGGCCCCAAAGCAGGAAGTCTCACCTAGAACCTGACTTTGTAGCCTCTGTCCCCAGGACTTGGCTTCTGCCCACCTCCAGGGTTTGCAAGAGTTTGGGGGAAGGGAGGGGCAGTCCCTCTCCTTTAGGCCAGCCCACACCTCGATGGTCCTGACATTTTCCCTTAGTCTCCAGGGATTCTGAACTGTGTGCTAAGCAGGCCTGGTCAGAGCCCTGGCCAGACCGGTGCCAGCGTGTTCGCAGCACCTGTTTTAGCACCCTGTTTTAGCCCTGCCCCTGCTGGTGTTCCCCTCCCATGCCTGCCTTCTGGGGAGCATCCCTCTTACTCTCTCTCCATCAAAACCCACCCCACCAGTGCCTGAAGCCACCTTACGACTCTCAGCCTTTCTGGCTGATAAACTCTGTCCCTGGGTCTGAGACACAAGATGTAGCTCCTGCATTTTAAAAGGGCTTCCCACACATAATACCTTAACACCAAGGATTGCCTGGTGAAAGATGAGGTGAGAGGGTTTAGGGGTTGACTGCTTCCCCCACTTACTTTTGGGAGTCAGAAAGTGAAGCACAGATCCAGCCTGCCTGCTCTGCTGCGGTCTGGGGCCCAGCCTTGGCGCTCCACTTCAGTCCTTGCTCCAGCCTTGCCCCCTCTAAACTCTAGCCTGCACCTCCATTTCTACCAGTTTTCAGAATGCAAGTCAAAGAGAGTTTGCCTTGAGCCTGGAATCCCCCTAACTCAGCACAGCATGTTGGGGTAGCTGAGGAGACTTCCCAAAGCTCATGTAAACCTGCTGAAGCTGCATGTGCAGGGCTGAGCGCCGGGAAACCCAGCTCACATGGAGCCCTCAGGAGGGCTTATCAGGAGCATATGAGGCACAAGGCCTACTGACACCTGACGGAGCTGGACCAAGGGGACTGCTGTGGGGAGACAGGCAGCCCTTCCACAGAAGACAGACCAGACTCTGGGCCCCACATCCTGCCCCCCACCCTTCCCACAGCTGCCCTCACAGCCACTGCACTGTTCCCAGGCCCCATTTGACCCAGATCTGAGCACCCGCTGAGTGGCTGGGCTCCTGGAGCGGCCTCACCCTGCTCAGCCCCACACACTGTACCCTTCACCTGAGTCCTGGCCCCTGAGATCAGCCCTATTGCTGTTTTCCTTGCAGTTTCCAGCGCCTTCCAGTTTGCCGGTGTGATCCACTGGATCAGTCTGACCATCCTCTCCGTGTTCTTCTCAGAGGTAGGTGAGACTTGGACCTGGGCCTTCTGTGTGGGGCACCACCTGTCCTCGGGGACCAAACTTTATTCTGGCATGGGAGCCCTCCAGGTCCCCAAGAGGCGCCAGGCTAGAGGAGGCAGATGCCTGTGCTAGGAGGTGGTTTAAGAGGAGCAGCTGCCAGCCCACCAGCGGGAAAGTGGTGTGATCCACGGAAGGACAGGTGTGAAGGGGAGATGAGCAGCAGGTGCCTGAGGGAGCGCGGATGGCTCGTGTGTTGGGTGGGGGAGGCAGCCAGGCTACAGGGCAGGGTACCTGCAGTGGAAGAGCAAGTCTGATGCTGGGCTGGGTTCTGGGGGCACAGAGGGTCCTTGGCTGAGGTAGCAGAGGACAGAGAAGACAGAGTCACAAGCTGAGCTGTGGACCTGCGGTTGCTTAGGGGATCGAGGGGCTGGTAAGGCCTAGAGCAGTGTCCCCTCACCCCTGACGTGAGTGACGGGATAAGTCCAAATTAGCAATACCAGGGAGCAGGGACACCCTGCACTTTGCTGAGCTCACATCTCTGTATGTGAGGTAAGAGGAAAAGCTGCCTGGTGGTTCCATGGACCAGGTCCCACAGCACACAGCTCGTTCTCTCCCTGGGGGTGGGTGACCCCGCTGAGCATTCCTAAGCTGGCACAGCAGGACCCCATACATTTCCCGATCCTCGACTTGGAACTGCGGAGCCTGCAGTATTGCCCAGCAAGCGCAGGCAGTGGGGGAAGCAGCACAGAGCCTGCTGGGGAGACACACACAGCTCACACACATGGAACTCACACCCACGTGTGAGCACACACATGGGTGCTGCAGCCCTGGAGGCATGGCGGCTCGGGGGGCCGGAGCAGAGGGCTGGGAACGCCAAAGGATGCTGAGGGAAAAGGATGTGGGTAGAGGATGGAGCAGAGATACTTTGTATGTGATTCAGCACCCAAAGAACCAAGAGCCCCCATGCTTTCTAAGCCAGCTCTGGCCACATCTTGCTGTGCCCCATTTTGTGCGCTCTCTGTAATTAGAGCAGGGAAGACTGGGCTGTGTAGGGCCGGGCAGCAGCATCACAAGCACAGAACATTCTCCTCCCAGGCACTGGGTCCTGTGGCACTGCTGGCTGACAAGGCCAGGCCTGAGGCGCAGGCCCAACACTGCCCTTCTGAGGAGCTTCCAAGCCAGCTGACTGCTTTTTGCCATGGAGGTACCTCTGTCCCTGCAAAACAGCACCTGCTCCCAGCTTCCTGCCCCTTTGGGGGCCTCACCCTTCCTAGACCCCGTACCTCTGCTCCCCAGTATTCCCTCCCACAAACACATGGGCCACGGCCAGATGTCTCCTTGATGCAAACCTTAGAAAATGTGCCATGCGTGCGTGACCGCCAACAAAAATGTTTAATCAGTTGCTGTGGCTCTTCCATCTACCCTCCCCACCACCCCCACGCTTGGGTTTTATTGGATTTGCAGAATTTATTGCCTAGCATTAATTTGGCGTTCCCTTCCTGTCAGTGCCAGAGACAAGCCACCTGAGATAGACAAGGCCTGTGCAGCGGCTCTTGACTGCAAACTCCCATCCGCCCTCTCCCCTGTCAGCCAGAAAAGGGCTGGGGCCTCCCCAGGTCTTTTGGGAAGATCTGGAGGCTGTGGGTGCATGATTGCACCTGACCTTGGACCTCATTAATGATGATGAGGGTGAGGTAGAGCCATAACCTGGAGTAACACAGAGTAACAGGGGTAATGGGGAAGGAACAGAAGAACAACAGGGTAACGAGGGAATAAAAAGAGAGCAATAGGAGTAATGGGAGCTAACAGAAGGGTTAACAGGGGCGTAACCAGAGTAATAGGATCAGAATAGGAGCAATGGCAGAGGAACAGGAGAGCATCAGGCGTGACAGGAGTGACGGGAGACCAGCACACCTGCCCAGTGCGAAGAGAGGGGCTAATATACAGCGAGTGGGACAGCCGCTCCCAGGGGGTTTGGACACAAGTGATGAGGTTATGCTCCTCACCGTGACTGGGCCACCTCTTCTGGGACCGGCCAGGGCCAGCTCCCTCTGAGCAGTATATCAGGCGTGCATATGTACTTGCCACTGAAAATCCCTGCTGAAGGTAACTTCAAAAGCAACTGCTTTAAAACTGTGCGGGTGAGACAAGCAGCCTGGGTTGTGCAGTCAGTTCTGGCCAGCACTGGCACCTAGGCTCTGGGCTCCTACTCGCTGCCCACTGCACCTGCCTGTGGTGCCCACACAACAGGATCTGGGGAAAGGCCGAGGCAGGGACGAGGAACTGAGAAAGGAAAGGCCTGAGCTGGGAGCACTTCCGACCACAGATGCAGGACACCCCTGCATTGAGGGAGCTCCTTCGGTCCCTGGTGGTGTCAAGGGCTGTGCCTACTCACCAAACTTGGAGGTCACACGAAGCCTGGGGGCTTCGTGAGCACATGGATTTCACAGGCAAGTTCCAAGAAGGCCTCACCCAAAGGGCAGCCCCAGAGGTTTTCAGTGTAGTCTTTTAACCTGGTCTGAGTAATATTCTGCTTGTTGGTGTTTTTTCCCGGTCTGAGTAAGAATGACGGGAGGCAGAAAGGCTGAACAAATAGTTTATTGCACCCTGGCAACAGCTGAGATGAGCTCCCTAGGCTGGGGTCCGCAGTTACTGCGAGTGTTGTAGGGGAAAGGTCTCTTATATAGGCTTTAGGTTCCTTTTTTTATTTTAATGGCACTTTACACCTGAACGTAAGGCCCGTTCTGGTATTGCCAGCTGGTCTCACTCAACAGTTGGCTCAACCCACCTTAGGGCTGCCTAGAATATGGGTGGGACATTTTACAAGTTGGGAAAATGAGGCCTGGGAAGAGTGGAAACATCACAGGGCCTGCAGGAATGGCAAGATGGGTGTGCTGGGCTCACACAGCCCCTCCCCTCTCAGCATTCTGCAGGAGCCCTGGGGAAGTGGGTACTCAGTTCTGTATGGGCCTGCAGGACAGAGCCCAAAGAAGGGAAGTGTGAAGCAGCTTTGGCTCAGTTGGAAGAAATCTGTTCCAATGGGTGAGCTTCTGACAATGAAACAGATGCTTCTCCATGGGTGAGGGTGGGCTCCTCAGTCTCGCAGGCCATGCAGGGTCCGTGCAGAGGGGACTCAGTGAACATGTGTGCCCTCAAACACCCCCAGAGCCCTGATTCTCTAGGTCAGGCAGGGTCACAGCACGAAAATGGGCAGTGCCTTGGGAATCCAGATGGGGAATTATGCAAACAGTGTCTGCACAGTGCAGCCTCACCCTTGGCTGAGACCCAGCCCAGCAGCTGTTGGCAACCAGAAAGCCAGATGCTTCTCTTCCTGGGACTGCTCAAAGATCTGGGCCTGGCTGAGGCCTGGTCACCCTGTAGCAGGCTCAGTGCAAGGGCTGTGGTTCTGGGCCCATTTCCTAATGGGAGACAGGGTAGGGGACCCAGAGGCCCAGCTCTTTTCCTAGAAGAAAAGAGCCTTCTATATGCTAATCTCAAGGCTGTAGCTATAGCCACTGTGGCTGCTTCTCCTTTTTTGAGGTGAAATTGGTACATCATAACAATTCAGTGACATACAGTGTTAACACACCATTGCCTCTTTCTAGGTCCACAGCATGTCCATCATCTCAACAGAGCTCTGTCCAGTAGTCACCCCGAGCCCCTTCTCCCCAGCTACTGCTGACCACTGAGCTTCCATTTCCATGAGCTAACTGCCAAAGTACATCAAACAAACGGAACTGGACAGGACGTTTTGTGTGTGACTATTTCCCCGGGTGTGTCAGGATTTCCCTTTGGTGCCACACAGCCAGGTCAGGGCTCATCCCCTTTATGTCTGACTAACAGATCACACTGTGCCCTTCCACCTGGCAGTTGATCAGGCTTCTTTCAACATCTGCTTTTTTTTTCTTTTTCAAAGATTCATTTATTTATGCACACAAGAACTGGGGTACAAGCCAGAGATGCAGGGATGAGAGGATTCACCAGAGACAGAGCTGGGAGCAGAACAGCCAGAAGGTTTTGAAACACACTGCTGAGGGGAGCAGTGGGAGAGATAGGAGAGGTCTGCTGTGCCATGTGGGTCAGCTCCCTGGCCAGGGATCGAACTTGTGCTGCAGTGGCTATAGATAGCCACTTCACAGTGCTATGCTTCAACCCATTTTGCCACCAGGAAGGGCCCTCAAAATCTGCTTTTACAACTGTCCCCTTTTCCCCAGTGTAGCCCTTTAGAGTGGGTCCTAGGCCTCACAGGCCCCCCAGGGAGCAGGCCTGCTGATCCCCGTGCCACGCCAGGACCACTGCCAGCCAGCTGAGCCCGGGGCACATCCTTCCATGTCCAGGCCACCCTGAGATTTTGGACCCACAAGGTGCCCTCTCCTACCTGCTCCCTCCTCCAGGCAGGTCCTGGTAGGCCTCACTCAGCAGATGGAAGGTGGGAGGCCGGTGCTGCAGTTTGTGCTGAGAGATGAGCAGAGTGAATGTATGTGTGTGTGTCTGACGAAAGCTCAGCCGAAGGGAGTTAGCTTGATCATAGATGTGGCTCGGGCAAGTCACTGCCTCTGTGCTGTGATTTCCCCTTAATCTGAGGCAACAGGGCCAGTTCCCCAGGTTGCCTTATTGACCCCCCTGAGGCTGAGCCACTGCTCACTCCCCAATTCACAGAGGCAGAAGCTGTGAGGACCCCTGCACACCTGTCCCCTCCTGACCTCCTTCACACCTCCAGACAGCAAACTTAATACCCAAGCACCTTACAGGACAAGTCTGATGGGGTTGTGAAGAAGTGGGGGCACAGCCCCAAAGCAACCAGCTGTTAGATGGAGCAGTCCAGCCAGCCCCTACCCATGCCAAGGCCCTGTCCCTGCTGTGCTGGCACTAGGCCAAGCTCAGCAACCCATTCATCTCCACATCCAGAGCTCCTCCTCTGGCCTTCTTGGTGCCAGGATGCAAGGCCCCATTGTAAAAGTAGGCAGGTCATTTACTGAAACAGCTTCCTGGAAGTGTCT